GCTAAAACACATCCCATACCTTATCTCATAGCTCCAAGATTAGCTCTGGAGGCTAATAGTTCCCACTAGCCAACGTGCACACAGACAGAGGGCTTCTCTGCTAACCTCAGAGCTAAAGCTCTGTCTTGATCCAAACTTCTTTAGGCTTATGGAAGAAATCACTAAGGAGGCCTAGTGTTGGAAGGAACGCTGGACCGAGGAGACAGGAATCCAGATCCTTAGTGCTGGCGTGGCCATTATTAAATCACTATGAGGTTTAGGACCAATTGCTTTACTTCTCTACATTTTAGTTTTGGCATTTTATGAAGTGTACCCTTGCTGAACCTAAATGCTGATGCAAATTCAGACAGTATATTAGTTTCTTAAGGTTTCCAAAACAAAGTACCACAAAGTGGGTGATGTAAAAGACCAGAAACTTACAGTCTCATAGTTCTGGAGGCTAGGAACCCCAAATCAAGGTGTCAGTAGAGCCATGCTCCATTTGCATGCTCTAGAGAAGGATACCTCCATGCTCTCTTCTAGCTTCTGGTGGTTGTTGGCAGCCTTGGCATTCCTTGGTTTGTAGAGGGATCACTGCAATATTTTCCTCTGTATTTGTATGGCTTTCACCTCATGTCTTCTGTGTCCCTGTTGTCACCTGGCACTCCCCCGTGTGTTTCTCTGTGTACAAATTTCTTTCTTTGTATAAGACTAGTTATTGAAATAGTGCCTATACGAATCCTGTGTGACCTCATCTTAACTTGATTACATCTGCAATAACCCTATCTCCAAATAAGGTCATATTCACAAGTACCAGGGGTTAGCATTGAACATATCTGTTTGGAGGACACAATGCAACCCACAGCAGGTGATGTCTAATGAACAGTGGACCAGGGCATATTTGCAGGCGTTGACTTCTACAATAGGGGAATAGGAGAAGTATCCAATGAGGGAAAAGCTTGTCATAAAAACATCTTGAACAAATGGGGCAAATGGAGGGGTCAAAATGTTGTGAGTTTTGCAAATGGGTTCCATGAACCAGCTCTGAGTTATGTGGAAAAGAAAGAATGAAATGAAAGTTAAAAGAACAGTTTTTTCACAAAGGGTTTTGTGAAAAGTTGGGCTCAAGGACCAAAATTACAGAATTAGGGGAAAAAAGTCATTCTCAGAATTTCTGTAGCAACTCTATGGTCCAGAACAAAGGGAACAAAGCATTTAATAAACACCTATTAAGTCTGACCCCAGCATCGCTTCTACCTTCTTGTAGTATCAGCACCCTGTATTTCCTTGAAGGAGCCACCGCTCCTCCACTCTGTCTGTGAGGCTTGGATGGAGCTCTCCCTCCACTGGTGGTCACAAGCCTAGCATCTGGCTACTTCAGCCCCACATCCCCCAGTCAGAGTGACTAGGTCGGAGAAAAGCACGTGACACATATTAGCCAATGAGACTCAGTTCCAGGAAGCCTGCTGGAACTTTTAGGAAAGGCATTTCTTTTTACTTTATTTACTGTAAAAAAATATTATTATTATTATCATGATTATTATTATTATTATTATTTTGGTAGTGAGAATCTGAAGATCTACTCTCTTAGCAACTTTCAAGTATACAACACAATATTGTTAACTATCATCCCCAGGCTGTACATTAGATCCTCAGAATGCATTCATTTTATAACTGAAAGTTTGTATCTTTTGATCAACATCTCCCGATTATCCCACTCCCCAGCCCTGGCACTCACCATGCTATTCTCTCTATGAATTCAGTTTTCTTAATATTTCACATATAAGTGAAATAAAACAATATTTGTTTTTCTCTGATATTTCAGTTTGCATCATGCTCTCAAGTTTCATCAATGTTATCACAAATAGCAGAATTTCCTTTTTTTATTGCTAAATAACATTCCTTTGTGTGTGTCTGCGTGTGTGTGCGTGTGTGTGTGTGTGTGTGTGTGTGTGTGTGTTTAAATATGTATCACATTTTCTTTAACCATTCATCTGGTGACAGACACATAGGTTGTTTCCATGTCTTGACTATTGTGAATAACACTGCAATGAATATGGGGGTGCAGAGAGCATAGATCTTAAAAGTTCTTAACACAAACACACACACACACAGTAGCTATGTGAGGAGATGGATGTGTTAAATAACTTTATTGTTGTTATCATTTTGTAATATATATGCATATCAAATCATCATGTTATATACCTTAAAATTACACAATGCTATATATATCAATTACATCTCAAAAAACTGAAAACAAAATAATTGACCATTAAAAAATAATAAGATGCCATCCTTGATAAGACACTATGTTTATTACAATGTTTGGGAGAAAAAAAATACCTCTACATAAAATGTACTTATCGATTTTATGACACAATTAAAACTAGAAACCCACAACATGAAAAAAAATGGATCTAAGAATCAAGGAAACAAAAGATTTTTAGCCTCATTTTTCAATTTGCAATTTGTAGACCATGTTGATGTTATCTTACATCTGAAAGTTTGGGTGAAACTGAGAAACATTTACAGTCTGCCCTACTGGAATCCTAAATAGAGTTTCATGTTTCTTGAAGACAGATTATTAGAATGAGATAGTGGTGCCTAATATTTTGTTTTGTTTTGTTTTAAATCAAATGTCAATTGAATAAAATAATGTTTGAATGTTATGTTGCCTTCAAAGAAGCAGTAAACAATGTATCACTAAAGAGGTTTAGAATCTCTGTTAACCAATTCTAGGAAATAGATGTTTCAAATCAGACTTACAACAATTTGTTGTTGCCCTGTTATTTGTCAGATGAATAATCACTTAAAAATATATGATAAGTAAAAGTAGATTTACTAACAAGGAGGGTACACAATAAATTTAACAGTTAAAAAAAAATAATAATGCTGGTTTGGGCCTGCCTTAAACTGAACGTAATACAGAGAAAGGTAGAAGCAAGAGATAGAAACACAAAGATGTTAAAGGGAAAGAGAAAAGAATGAGACTATAGAAACCGAAGATCATAAAGAGAAAAAGAAAGAATGAAAGAGACTGACATCTATACCAGATATTTTTGGATGCAGTGCTAACTTCCTTCTATTTTTTAGCTACATGTGCTAATAAATTCCCTTCATTTGGTTTATGTCACTTTGAATTGTGTTTCTGTCATCTATAACCAAAAGTGTCCCAAATAATGTAAGGCCCACTTGGCCTGGTGTGGGTTCTACAGCTTTGAAAACTAAGGAAGGCGACATTCACTCAATGCACCAAAGTTTCTCCAGCGTGGACAGCCATGGTCACAGTGGCTGCGGCAGCCTAAATCCTGCCTCAAGTCATTTTCTAGACAGACACCTTAACCCAGAGTGGCACAGGTTGGACATAAGAGAGCTGATTCTAATAACATGTAAGTCACCTTGGGAAGTGTCATATGCAATAGCAAGAGACTGACAAGGTCCAATTATACACATGTGCAGCACAAGACCATGGATTGTGGGCATTAGTATTAATGAGAAATTACGTGTGTCCATAAGCTGAAGAGGCTTAGGGGATATTCTGGTTACTTGGACAGTAAGAAAGTAGCACTAGCCTCAGGTTCCACTGAGATCCAGGTTTCTATTGTTTGATAAAAGAATTAAAGTTAGCTTCTTCCTGCCTTAGACTTACCACGCACCCTCCTCTTCTGCCTTGAAACAGCAGTCAGAATAAAGGGAAAAGCTTGGCAACATGATGTGTGAGCCCAGGAGTGCATCTACATGCATGTATGGGCTGTAGGGCCTGCTGAAAAGGGGGTTTTCAAATGGACCCAAATTTCAGCTGAGAGCACCGGTCTGAGAACATCAAGTACTTGCCCATGGAGTCTTTCTCTGCATGTGATAACGAGGATTAGTCCTCAGCAAACAGCCTAACTTCCGGAATGTGTTCGATCTCATTTCTCTTAGGAAAGGAGAACATTTCTTTTTAGTCCTGCCATTTAAAGGAAATATCAATACAAACTGAAGGACCAATGAAAGGGAAGTCAAGATGGCACAGGAATGAACTTTTGAAAATGAAGATGTGCATTTTAATAGCAACTGAAAGAAAACAAGACAATAGAGGCCTACAAAATTAAATAAGCACATAAAGTGTGAAGGTTTCACTTTAAGCCTAAGGACAAGATCTGAAAGTAAACAACAAGTGTAAACGCCCCTCATGAAAATATGAACTATACCATCAAATTCAGCATGTGTTAACCTGAAAATAAATAGGCATGCAAAACAGTTGTTTCCTGATGCAATTACCAAAATCATGTCTAATTTCCTCATTATAACCATTCCATATATAAAACATTAAGCTATACCATTATTTTTTTAAAGATTTTTATTGGGGAATTGGGGGGATGGGAACAGCGCTGGGGAATTGGGGGAAGGGGAACAGACAAGTTGCTATCATTTTGTTCTTCAGTCTAGTTGTGGAGGACGTTGCTTCACTGGCCCAAGTTGGCACCATCATTGCGCTCTTCCTGGACGAGGCAGATCAGTCGCTGACTTCTGGAGAGCCGCTCACTGCGGCTGCTGGCCGCTCACGCTGGCTGCTGGCTACACACGGTAGCCCATGGCAACCCACTGCCACAGGGGCTGCAGCCTACGCCAAGGCCACATGGCAGCCCAGCTCCAGGTTGAGCTGTTGTTCAGCATCTTAGCTGTAGAGGGCAGCGCCACTGGCCCTCATATGTGGGATCCGAACCGGGGTCCTCTGGCGTCCCAAGCCAGTTCTTAACCATCGTGCCACTCAGCCGGCCCTAAGCTATAACCATTTTTTAAATAATTTTCATTTCATGAGCTATGAGCCTAATTAAAGGTCAATCAAGGTCAGAGTCTGTGTTGCATAGAAATGTCCCCAATGGCCTCCCTCAAAACTGAATGCTGTCAGGCTTCAGCGGGTTATCTAAATTTTACAAACAAATATTGTTTTAAGCAGGCTTAATCAGCTACTTAGGTTACAGAATAAATGTGTGTACCCGGGAAGTAAACGAAGCACACACAAACGAGGCACTCACCTTTTCTCCCCTGAGGCTCGCGGCAGTTCTCATGGATGCACGTGCCCCAGGATGACCAGGAAGACACTATACAGTCTGTAGAGCAAGGGATACTGCAGAGCTGAGAGGCTGCGGGGGCAGGTCCCAAACATAATGCCTTTTCCACAGGTCTAGAGACTGAAGGACAAAAAACAGAAAAAAAAAAAAGAATGGTCCATGTCACATTCTCTGGAAATCTCTAGTATTGCTCCTGACTCTATGAGCTTGCCTTGCCCACATCAGCTTTATGGTTAAAAGGGGTGTATGCAAACAAAGCATAAACATTCTTTAATCCTCATTGCTTTGCTGTGCATTATTAGCATTTTAGGCGAGAAAAGGCAAAAACACAAAAAGCAGCATAAAGGACATGCACTTGATTTTCCTGCATCACAGAGTATTCCCTGGAAACCCAAGAGAGTACTAGAAATATAGATACAAATTATCTAGAGCTATGATTTTTAAAAAATTAAATGGCTTTGTGAAGTTTCAAGATGAGTCTATCTTGGTGATATAAATTACTGGGTTGCTGTGAAAAAATAAAAATTGAACCCCTGAGGTGGGGTGTTTAGCATAACCAATCTACTGCTGTTACTCCCCTGAGGGGTGAAGCTCGGAAAGACACAGAAGAAAAATGGTTCTTAGAATAAGAAGAATAATCAGGATCTGTGACTGTAGAATTAGCCCCTGCAAGTTGGTTTCATTAGGAAGGATACCCAGGGGCACAAGGAGTGTCTAAGGAGCCACAGAGAATGCCACACTCAGCACCTTCCAGCATTTCCTGGTGTGCCCCTGCACCCAGAACACGTCCAGAGCTGGGTCATTGCGAGGGGTGGGGGGTGGGGCAGTGACCATCAGTGGCATTCACCAAGTGCCATCTCTATGCAAACCCATCCTGGACACCATAAAAATACACAGATGAAGAAGACTAGATCCTGATCCTTGTGGAGTTTAAAACATAAAAGGAACTAGGATAGAATACCCGAAAAATGACACAATCAAAGAACAGCCAAATGCATAACTCCATTTGCAAAGAATGACCTCACTCTAAGAAGGCTTGGGAGCCATTCAGAGTTTGTGAGCAAAGCGTTTAAGTTCAGATGGTTTCATCTCATGGAGTGGCTTGTACTATTGTCTAACTATTTCCTATGTGTCGTTTCCATCCAGTTAAGAAAATTAGAACTGCTTCTAAGGCAGAAACTGGCGTGAGAGGATTGGGTGGTGAATCACACCGTCTACTTTGCTTCCTCACTCCTTAAGTGAGATAAGTTGAGTTACGTGAGTTAAATTGGGGAAAGTTGGCAATAAATCAGTGCTCTGACCAGGAAAGGCTTGAACATAATCCAAAACAACAGCAAAATAAAAAAAATACTGTCATGAAGCAGTTGTAACCCAGGGGCAAAAAAGGGTTTCTAAAGAACAATGGGGCAGCTTGAGGTGATTATGAGGGTGAATGGGAAAAATAAAAGGTTGCAAAGGAAAAATAATAACACTTTGTTTGCAATTAATTCTTTTACAGTTTACTAAAAGGATGTGATCTGATAAGTGGGACGAGGAGGCTGGAGTAACCAGCACCGGGGATGCACACGTGACACTGATGCACTGTAGGTAAAGAAGAACCTGTGAGATGGGGAAGAGGTTTGTGATTCCTTCCTCAGCAGTGAGCAAGAGGAGACACACATGACAGCAGTTCACTGAGTAAATTATGCACTCCTTCCAAAATCACTAATCACCCACTCTCAGTAAGGACCCCATGGATGTTGTGTCTGCTTTCAAGCAGCTCTAAGTCAAGACGGGTAAGTGAAGTAGCATATTAATAAAATTGATGGAAAGAGATATGTCAAAGCATTATATAAGTAGGAAGCTGCAGAAATGTCTTTGTGTCCAGACCCATGCTTGTTAGAATGTGTTTTCACAAACTCAAATTTAGTTCCAAAAACAAAACCTTAACAATGATGGAGAAGTGAGTAGGGCAAGTAAACTGATTAGTCTAGTTATTTAATAAACATTTATGGTGCATGCCAGGCACCAGTTATATATCAATTCATTTAACCTGCATAACTTCCCCGTGAGAGATTTACTACTAGTAGTAGTATTTATTATTTTAAAAATGAGGAAATTGTGACACAAATATTTACTCCCTTTCCCACATTTCCAGTCCTGAGCGGTGGAGCTGGGATTTGGATATAAGCATCTGTCTCTTAACCACTGCACTAAGAGATCCCATCATTAGCCATTCAACCTACATTGATAAGTGCCTACCACGTGTTAACACTGTACTAGGTACTGAAGCCAGAATAGTGAGTAAATCAGAATAATGAGTAAATCACTGCCCTCATGGAGCCCATATTCCAGTGTGAGTTGATACTAATCATACATGAGTCCATGAACTCCAACGGAAGACTGCAAAGCTGTGACGGCCGCTTCTCTTTCCTTTGCCATGGCTGTCTCACTGTAACACCAGACAGACTTTAAGTGTCTGATGATCAATGCTGAGAAGATACCCTAAATCTCTCAGCTTCAGGACTGAAAAGACACTTGCTGCCACTACCTCTCTACTTTAATTTCAACCCTTTCATTGAAACTAGTTAATCCACCAGTTCAATGACCAAGCACACAGTGGGCCTGCATTAAATCTTCTCATAAGTTCTAGGATTGTCTGTGTAGGGAAGGCTTCAAGTGGGCAGCGCAATTGGAAAGAGACTGGGGAGCTTGTCCTGAAGCAGTGTTTGTCTAGGACACTATTTTTACAGATATTATGCTTATTTGGCTTATTTTAGGAAAGCTGTTGAGGATTATTGGGAGGTAAGGGGTTAAGTCCCTGAGGTCCCCTTTGATTAATACTTAACTGTCAATCGGTTGATTGTTGGACATTAGGGCTAATGGCACTCCTAAGATTTAGAAGTAGGAGGGAGTGACATGATGTGCTGGAGAAGAACAGGAAAGGACTTCCCTGGGAACTACTAAGTGACATAATTGGAGGCCCAGGGGTGGGATTGAAGCCATTTGTCATAGCACTCATGCCTCTTCTGCACCTGCTGCTTTGACAGACAGTAGATCTTTATCCATATCAATAAATTCTTCCAGTCCCAGGCGACATGTCTAAGATGCTTCATTTAGGCACTGAATCAATGTGCTTGGGTCAACCTATCTCTTTCTCAGACCCCCTGGGCTACATTTAATCTACAAATAAATCATGGGTAAGTCACAAAGCACTTACCAGCTTCAGACGACTTAGGTAGTCATCTCTCAGAAAAGAGTGAACACAGGATATTTCTATGCCTTTTGACTGGTAGAGCTAGAAGGGAGCTTTAGAGCTAATTAATTTAGTTTAATTCATCAATGTTACTGAGAAACTGAGCTCTAAAGACCTTAGGCGCTTTCTCCAAGTTCACTCAGCAAACCCAGGGCGCAGCAAGACCTGAGGCCTGTTCCAGGTGGTTGATTTACCTCCATTTATCCCACTTCATCTTCCTTTCATGGAACGAAGGCATCAGACAGGACACATGAGGTTGTTTACACCAAGGATATTTTATTTACGAATCACAGTGACCACACAGGAGGCAGCCAGTGACAAAACAGATCCAAGGTACCTACCCAGGAAGGCAGCGGGCTCAATGTAACCCTTCTGACAAAATCTAAACCCTTCCTCTCCTTAACTGCTATTTCAAAACTACTCCAAACCCCTTTCCAGACCTCTCCCACAAAGCAGGATGTAGTGAGAAAAAAGTTTGCTCCACTGCAAATGACTGTTTAATTATTTTATTTGTGGTTGTTCATGCCATAATACAATTATTTTAGCGTGAGGTCGGAACATGACCTGGGCCACCTGGAATTGGATGGTCTGTGCAGTTTACTCTTTATGAAACCCTCACATCTTCCTAGCCAAACTCTAACCATGATATTTGTTGGAAGAATTGCTGTTTTTCTACTCCCCTGCACTCCATACTCTGGATGTATGGATGGCGACGACTTTATTTCTATTTACTAACTCTGTCTCCTCTAATGCAATGAATTCTTGCTCTAATCAGTGCACCTATTCAGTGCAGGGCTTAGCTTGTCCCACTTTTTCCAACTGTCTTTGAAATCATGTCACTTTGAGGCCTTCTGCCATTCCTGTGTTGACAAACTGCCTGACTAGATAAGCAATTACCCGAGGTCGTATAGGCTACTTAGCTTTTGTAGGCAGCAACGTTAGCCCCTGTAGAGACTTCTCATGACCACCGTGTTAAAGAGCCAAAATAACTTATAACTTGGATAAATTAAGATCACTGCATAGTGGTAGCTTTCTAAGGGCTAGGGAATATATTACAGTATTATAAGTGACTGTACATATGCAATAGTCATTACAACTTTGGATATTTAAGTACCTAACCTGGAATTTTTCATTTGCAATAAGAAATTATTAAATTGACCTGCCTTACAAGAAATGTGAAAGTCTGCTACTGATTGCAAAGTTGCCTTAAATAATGAATTACTCCATGAACAGAATGTTAATTAATAAGGAGAAAAATATGCTGGTAGATGATATGTTTAATGGTTAAATAAAACTTTTCTTAATCCTAGAAATATACAAAGTTCATGGGTTTCCTTAATCACAAGGTGATTGCAGATAAGCATACAAATTCAATCAATATGAATTGTAATTAAGAAAATGCCTGTTGTGATCATTAGCATGTGGCTGTCATTGTAAAGAAAAATGAGTTCCTTCACATTTCATTCTTGGGAACTAAATCCAGCTCTAATTCAAACTAATTTGAATTAATACAGAAATAAGTTGGCAAAGATTCAATAAGAATATATTACTCCCACCCCTACTAATGGCCATTTTCTAAGATTTAAATAAATATTAAATATCTTTTAACTCCTCAAAAAGAAATTAAACTGAAATTGCATAATATTATTTAATTATAATCAATAATAATTAGTTATAATTAATAAGACTAGAGGCATCCCTGTCTAGTTTATTAAAAAATGAGTTACATTTGCTTAAAGTAAAAAGAGTTATCACAAGAGTCCATGTGATTTTTTTTAAAATATATCTGTTATTGTATGAAAAATCATCAGTCTTTCAAAATTCAGAATGCGTTTGAGGTAATTCTATTATAGCATAATGGAGCTCACCTTTCCCTCTGGAAAGA